TTTGAACGCGGGCCTTGGCGCCTCGCCTGCCTGATCTGACACTTGTTTGGCCTTGGGCAGGTGGCATGGCCTCCCTGAGCCTCCGGTTCCTCAAATATAATTTAAAAAGCAATAGTCTAGTCACCTCCCTGCCTCCCTAAGCCCGGAGCAAAGAAACAGACTCCGAGGAACCTCAGGAGGGCTCCCACCGCCCTTGGCCGGGACCTTCACCCGGTGGCCTCCCGTCTGCAGCAGCATCTCCTGGTCTCCCCGCGCCCGCTCCAGCCCCTCCAGCCAGGCCAGTGGATCCTCCGACACCCTGTGCGTGTGGGAGGCTCTTCGTCGGTCACTCTGCCCCCAGAAGATGAGCTCCGTGTATTGTTCAACGCTGCATCCCCAGCACCTAGAACAGAGACTGGCATCGGCTGGGTGTGCAGTAAATATCTTGGGGCTGAATTTGGGCCTCCGGGCTTTGGGTAGACCATTCTGCCCCTATCTTCAAAGTGAAAGCACAGAGCACCCCCTTTTCTTCTGTAGTTTCCTAGCTCGCCTTCCTAATAGAAAAAGTTTTCTGTAAGCTTCTGACTGGATTCAGGAAGAATGAATGAGGGAGCCACGTGGTTCCTGTTCACATTGGTTCCTTGAGGTGAGTCATCTTGCTGGGTCCTCGGGACCTTTGTGGTGCCTTCACTCATCCAAGCTCTGGAAGCACTGCCACTGGGGCTCTGGAGGGACTGGCAGAAGCCCTGAAGAGAAATAGGAAGAACATCCTTGCCTGCCACTGCCCCTGATCAAGTCCTCAGCATCCTTCACCTGGCTTATTACTTTTTTTTTACTGTTGACAATATTACAGATGTCCCCATTTTTCCTTTTACCCCCCTCCACCCAGCCCCCATTCCATCTGATTTATTTTTTAAGTTTCCTAATTTTCCCTGGGTCTCCACTCTTTTCTAAAAAATATATATATTTGTTGTTTTTAATTTTAGAGAGAGCAAGAGGAAGGGAGAGGGACAGAGAGAAAAACATCAATGATGAGAGAGAATCATCAATTGGCTGCCTCCTGCTGGAGACCAAGCCTGCAACTCCAGGCATGTGCCTTGACTGGGAATCAAATCAGCGACCTCTTGGTGCACAGGATGATGCTCAACCACTGAGCCACCAACCACTGAGCCACACAATCACTGAGCCACACAACCACTGAGCAACACAACCACTGAGCCACACAATCACTGAGCCACACAACCACTGAGCCACACAACCACTGAGCCACACAATCACTGAGCCACACAAACCACTGAGCAACACAATCACTGAGCCACACAAACCACTGAACCACATTGGGCAGGCACCACTCACTTTCTCTATCCTCCACACCTGCGTCAAAGATTCTTCTGAAATTCAAATCTAATCCTGTCACTCCCCTAATTAAAGTCTTTCAATTGCTTCTGCCTATTGGCAGGATAAAGTCCAAACTCCTCAGCTTGACTAAGTACCTGGCCTCTGGCAACATTGTGAGAGTCCCACCCACACTACCCAGCATAGCCCCAAGGTGCTTCTCCTTCAAATGTTTGTGTGGGTTGTTCTCAACTCTTATTTACCTAGGACTCCTCATCATCCCCCAAAGCGATTTAAAATCCCTTCCTAATCCCTTGGGGCAGAGTTAACATAACTTCTGTGCTTGCAAAACATTGTGTCTGTATCTCCACATTGCTTTATAATGTCCTATTTACCTGTCTGTCTCCTCTACTGGGCAGAGTAGCAGGAGGAAAGAGATGTCCCAATACCTCATTTTATTGCACTTTATTTTATTGTAGTTTACAGATGTTTCATTTTTTACAAATTGAAGACCAGATCTTTCACTGGCAAAAAGATTACAACTTGCTTTATTGCGGTACTCGCTTTATTGCAGTGGTCTCGGACTGAACCCGAAACATCTCTGAGGTGTGCCTGAATTTTCCTCTATCCTCTGCACAGAGCATACTGCCTGGTCCTCTTTAGATACTCAGTAGATACAAGTAGAATGACTAAATACTGCTGGGTGCAGCTAAAGAACCCAAGAACAGTAATTAGAACGATGGCAATCCCTTGGAGGGGTTGCTGTTGTATTTTTTAGATGGCTACTTAATTTTTTATTTATTTTTTATTCATCTTTATTGTTGAAAGTATTACAGATGTCCCCATTTTCCCCCATTGACCCCCTCCTCCTCACTCCCCTCCCCCTCCCCCATTGTTTTAGTTTTAAATAATTAATTTTTGAGATTCTTTTTTAAAATATATTTTTATTGATTTCAGAGAGGAAGGAAGAGGGAGAGAGAGATAGAAACATCCATGATGAGAGAGAATCATGGATCGGCTGCCTCCTGCAAGTCCCCCACTGGGAATCGAGCCCACAACCCGGGTATGTGCCCTTGACCGGAATCAAACCTGGGACCTTTCAGTTCGCAGGCCAACGCTCTATCTACTGAGCAAAACTGCCTAGGGCAATTTTTGAGATTCTTATCTAAGGTTTATAAGTCCACGCCTGAATCAAGTGGCAAAGCATTTATCCTTCATCGACTGGGACAGGAGGTTAACCTTAGATGTTACAGTCATGGTTCAAAAGAGAATGTTTAAAATGTAAAGTATACATTCAAAAGAGCGTATAAATACATGTGTGTGGCCGAAACTGGTTTGGCTCAGTGGATAGAGCGTCGGCCTGCAGACTGAAGGGTCCCAGGTTCGATTCCGGTCGGGGGCATGTACCTGGGTTGCGGGCACATCCCCAGTGGGAGATGTGCAGGAGGCAGCTGATCGGTGTTTCTCTCTCATCGATGTTTCTAACTCTCTATCTCTCTCCCTTCCTCTCTGTAAAAAATCAATAAAATATATTTAAAAAAAAATACATGTGTGTGGTTTAAAGAAAAATAATAAAAGGGATATCTGTTACAGATGACCAGAGAAGAACCAAGCAACGCTTAGAGAGATGGAGTTACATTTTATTATTATTATTACTAGAGGCCCGGTGCATGAGATTCGTGCACGGGGCAGAGGGGGCTAGTCATCAGCCCAGCCTGTGCCCTCTCACAGCCCAGGAGCCCTCGGAGGATGTCTGACTGATGGCTTAGGCCCGCTCCGCTCCCCACAGGGACCAGGCCTAAGCCATCAGTCAGACACCCTTAGCACTGCTGTGGAGGCAGGAGAGGCTCCCACCGCTGCTGCTGCTGTGCTCACCAGCCTTGATCCCAGCTTCTGGCTGAGCAGCACTCCCCCTGTGGGAGTGCACGGGCCACCAGGGGGCAGCTCCTGCGTTGAGTGTTTGGTTGATTTGCATATTAGCCTTTTATTATATAGGATTATTATTATTATTATTACACACAGGCCAGAAAACTGTATTTCAAATTCTGGGCCCCAACATGGAGGAAGTTTCCCTATTTATATCTTTTTACCTTCTTTGTCTCCCAAATATGGGGTTTTCCGGTCCCCTTTGCAAGTTCTTAAAGAGCCCTATGTGCTGGGGCTTTGAGACCTCAACCAAAGGCCTGGCCTGGTGCCAGCACTGATAACTTCATCTGGGGAAGGTTTATGGCTTCTCTGGAATGAAAGTAGTCTTATTTTCCTTATTATTTAAGCAAGCAAGCATTTACAGGAGCAAAAATAGCAGGGCTAAAATTTCAAACAGCAGTTTTTATATAAGATGGATGCTTCATATCCACACTCACCACCCATCGTAAGGAATGGAAAAGCCCTGTGTGGCCCTCCTTGCTGATCCTCCCACAGTTAACCACTGCTGCACTGAATTATGATTTAACCACCCCCTCACTTTGTAGTTTCAATACACACGTGTCCTAAACTATACTCAGTTTTGCCAATTTTTTCAATTGAGGAAAAGACGTGTGTACTTTCAAGTTATATAAGAAAAATGTTTGTTTCTAGGAAGGTTAATAATGGCTCAGTTAATGAAAAACACCACAGAGTGTCAGCTCGCCTTAAATAATACGTACAGCACCCTGGGTGGAATTGCTCAGTGGTTAGAGCACCGTCCCATGCACCAAAGGATCAGGGGCTTGATCCCTGGTCAGGGCACATACCCAGACTGCAGGTTTGATCCTCAGTCAGGGCACATATGGGAGGCAACCCATACATTTCTCTTTCACATCAATGTTTCTCTCCCTCTCCTTTCTCTCTCTAGACCAGTGATGGTGAACCTATGACACTCGTGTCAGAGGTGACACGCAAACTCATTTTTTTGGTTGATTTTTCTTTGTTAAATGGCATTTAAATATATAAAATAAATATCAAAATATAAGTCTTCGTTTTATTATGGTTGCAAATATCAAAAAATTTCTATATGTGACACGGCACCAGAGTTAAGTTAGGGTTTTTCAAAATGCTGACATGCCGAGCTCAAAAGGTTCGCCATCACTGCTCTAGACTCAATGGAAAACATATCCTTAGGTGAAGATTTAAAAAATACGCACAGCACTCTTTTTAAAAAAATATGTATATTTTTTAATTGATTTTTTACAGAGAGGAAGGGAGAGGGATAGAGAGTTAGAAACATCAATGAGAGAGAAACATCGATCAGCTGCCTCATGCACACCCCCTACTGGGGATGTGCCTGCAACCAAGATACTTGGCCTTGACCAGAATCGAACCTGAACCCTTCAGTCCGCAGGCCGATGCTCTATCCACTGAGCCAAACTGGTCAGGGCAGCACTCTTTTCCCTTACCTGAAATCCCGCTATATTCTTATGTGTGGTCTGAACTCACAGCCTCGCTTATATATTTGTGAATATTATTGACCAATGGCAGATGGGGCTATAACCTATCCTTCCATTTCTGGGCTCCATAAATAGAGACGATACGCTTTGTATGATGCATGACACGTAAATTCCATCTATCTATCTCTCCATTCAGTTTTAAATTAAAAATAATGATAGGTGAATACTCAATGAAGACCTAGACATTGTTTGGCCTATTTTAAAATGTAACATAAATGGAGTCACAGTGCCTGTATCATTCTGTGACCTCCTTCTTTCACCCAACATTACGTTTTGAGGATTTATCCATGTTAAGTTGAGCTGAAGTTCATTGAGTTTGATTGCTGTATTTCACGACACTCACTCCCCTTCCCAACCGGAAGGAGGAGAAGATGGCAGAATTCAAATGATGTTCAGGTGTAGGTGATCTGGCCAGTGAGTTCTCCCCAGCTCTGCCAGAGATGGGGGCTGTGGGCCCAGCAAACAGCCTCCCCACCAGGGTTTGAACCTCTGCAGGAGGAACAAGCCACAGGGCCTCTCTTTCCTGCAGAGCTGAGACGCCATATTTCGGTGCTGGGCTGTTTCAGCATCTTCGGGAGGATACAGGGAGGAAGAAGTTCACTTTGGAGCTGCCTCGCTGGGGGATTTGGAAGCAGCAGCCAGG